TTATCGCTCTCTTTCTTTCCCAGGTGTTGACTTTAAGATGAAGACCATAGAGGTGGATGGCATCAAAGTGCGAATACAGATTTGGTGAGCTGGGTAGGGGGAGGCGGCAGGTGTAGGAGGAGAGGCCCCTGGGCTGAGCCCTAGCTGCCACCGCCAGGTGTAAAAATTCCAAGGCCTCATCTGGGGAAACTGGGCACCTCTTATGTAAAGAGAAGCAGAAGTCTTAAAGCCCATCTTCTGCTAGGAGCCTTAATCTCTGATCTCTTTCCTAAGAAACTTTATGGGACCATAGATCACCAAAAAGCAGGAATTAGAAGGAACCAGCAAACTAAGCACTGTGGGTTCGTCTCAGAATAAGGCTGTACCTGTGGGCTGTGCCGAATGGGTAGGATTAGGAGGGCCGCCAGTTACCCCATCATTTCCAGTGGGAGCCTGGTGGGAGTCCCTTGGCACGGCACGTGCAGTTCCCAATGTGGCCACAGGGGGCTGATCCAGCTCTGGCCTGATGCTCCTGGGAGCATTTGGAGCTGCCTCCCAATTTGAGAATGAATGGTATGGGCGGTGCCTTCAGTGCAGCAGGCCATCCTTCTTGGATACCATGGCCAAATTCTAGAGAGTTGTCCAAGACCCAATGATGGTTGTGGCCCCTACAGATAGAGTTGACGAGGCCCCATAAGCCCTGTCAGCACCAGATAAGCAGGCCTCTTTTCAGCAGATCAGGTATGTTCACATCCCCTCGGGGACCAAAGATCCACTGATTTTTCACCCTTCAGCCCCCCAGTTTTCCTGCAAGGGCACTGGGTCTCCCAGCTCTTGCACCTCCCCTCCCCACCTGCCTCTGGGGTCCCTGCACCTCTAAGGGACTGGCTTTGTACCGCAGGGACACGGCGGGGCAGGAGAGGTATCAGACCATCACAAAGCAGTACTACCGACGGGCGCAGGTGAGCCACCATTTTCAGGGTTTAGAGGTGAGATGCTGCCACCCACCTCCCCAGCTCTGGGTGTTTAAGGTATCTGCACCACTGACCCCCAGAGCAGGGCCCACAGATTGCCTGCCAGGGAGGGCAGCTGCCGGGTGGTCTTCCAGTTGTTCATTGTTCATTCATTTGTCCATTATCCTCTGAGCTCACGCTACAGGCAAGTCCCCACCCTCTCCCTCAACTTCCACCTCCACCATGGGCCAAAGACCCAGGGCAAAGTACTTTGTGCCTTCCTACCTCAGAGAGTTCTGTGATAGGCCTAGGAAGCCATAGCTCTGGGGTATGAGAAAGAAGACTTTCTGGGTGCTGAGGGCTCCTCACTATACTAATCAGGGAGAAGGGAGAGTGGGACCCAGCATTTAAGGTCCCACCCTCACTTGTGGCCCCATGAATATGCACTGTCTCTCTGTGCTTCTCCCGCCCCCATCTCTCGCTCCTTCTCTCTCTCAGGGAATATTTTTAGTCTACGATATTAGCAGCGAGCGCTCTTACCAGCACATCATGAAGTGGGTCAGTGATGTGGATGAGGTAGGAGATGCCACCTCACTGCCGGGGGTGGGGAAAGGGCACCTCAGAGGGGAAGGCAAAGTGAGGGCCAGATGGGACGGGCTGAAGCTCTTGGGGTTGGCGGGCAAACACTACCAGGACAACTTGGCTTCCACAGCCCTGGACGAAGACCTCTGGGTGAGTAAGACATGGGGAGCAAGCCCAAGCTACCATGCCCTCTGTGCTTTGCTCCCTCCAGGCCTATGGCTGTTTCTTCCCCGGCAGGGAACTTAGGTTGAAGCCTACCCTGTCGCCAGCTTCCTTTTTGAAATCTCAGGACCTGGTGGCATTGTGAGACTGGGTTATCATTTTGGCTCTGCCACAGTAGCTGTGGAGCCTTGGG